AGAAGATTGAGATGTACTTTTTAAAGGTAAGATGTTGAAATGCTATCAGTACACTCAGATAAATACAACTTAATAAATACACAAATAGAACTGAATACAACTTGCTCTGTCTGCCTCTGCAATATCTACAAAAGGCCTCCTGTTCGACCTTCTAGATATAATTTAAACCACAACTGACGTCAACAAGTTCCGACATATATGAAAAAATCTTTATATAAATTGTTGGTTGAATTGTAATCATGTTTTGTTTTGCTGGTGTTTTTCGTGGTGACTGACCGGAGATCCAAGGCTGTGGCCGAGCTCGTGTGCCAAAGTCAGCTGGACTCGTCGAGGAGGCAGAAACTGTCCGTAGTTCTGAATTGTGACCAGACCTGTGTTCAGGGTGCATTTAACTCCGTTTTTGAGGGTCGCGGGCTTTGAACACACTCCTCCCCAGTTTCCTTAGATAAAGAAAATAAAAGACAATATCTGAGATTGTGAGGTTCACTGAGTATGTGACACTTAAAGTTAATACTTAAAGTAAATATAGTTTAAAAGCTGAAACTTCTGAACATTCTGATTTATCTCAGCGTTCTCCTGAAAAACTTTTACATATATTTATGAATTCATCTCAATCCTGTAAAACCCAACCCATCAAAAATAGCCAGAGAATTCAGATTTTTTGGGAACTCAGATGTTTATTAACCTTTAGAACAAAATCCACATTTTTTTTTTTTGCTCTATCATTTTTTGTATGATATATTTTGATGATACATCTTATTATTTTTTGTATTGCATTTGATGCATTGGGCATTTTTGGCAACTTTTTGTTAACAACACTGTTAATTTTATACAAAAAAAGAGTTTTGTCCATAACATTTTGAAATGATGGCAGGTATTGATCATGTTGATGTGATAGAGGTTTCAGAAACTCATGTATCAAATATGATACAAAGGGCATTATAGGGTTAATTTTGTTATGTTCTATGCAACTGTAGTTAGTTCATATCTTTGTATAGCTGTCGATTTAATACATTTCTGTTTATTTATATAGCAGCAAATCATCATCATCAATCAGCACTAATGCCTATAGTGTAAGGTAAATAATTTACAATTATCCAAAAAACCTCAACAATCAAACATCTTCTATGAACAAGCACTTTGGTGACAGTGGGAAGGAAAAACTTCCTTTTAACAGGAAGAAACCTGTGGCAGAGCCAGGCTGTGGGAGGGGCGACCATCTGCTGCGACCTTGTGAGTGAGGGGAGCT